GTCCGACCGACACCGAGCTATGCGGTGGCGGAGCTTAGTGACCCGAGCTCGGTGTGGGTCGGCCGCTGTCCGGCCGACACCGAGCTATGCGGCGGCGGAGCTTAGTGACCTGTGCTCGGTGTGGGTCGGACGGTGACCGACCGACACCGAGCTATGCGGTGGCGGAGCGTAAAGTGACCCGAGCTCGGCGTGGGTCGGCCGCCGTCCGACCGGCACCGAGCTATGCGGTGGCGGAGCGCATGTCAGCCGAGCTCGCCAGGCTCGCCAGAGCGCGCCGGCGGCCAGGAGCGACGGAAATGAGGTTAGATATTTCTACTGGGGGGGGGGGGGAGGGGGAAGGGAAGGGCAAATTGGCCAGCTCACCGCAGTCGTTGAAAGGGGGAACGCTTCAGGGGACTACCATTGCGTTCGTACTAGTCACCAGTCGAGCACCCGCCCGAAGCGGGTTGAGCGGGTTGGATACGGGCGCTGTCCGTGATTATGAAGGTGACTTTTAAAAAACTAACCTAACAGAGCCAACATCTCCGGTACTTCCGACACCTGGCTTTGAATACGTTGCCTATTTTTGCACCATTAATAGACGTCGCCGTCTATTCTCCAAAGTTTGCGGTAGTTGAGGATACGGCCCCGTGCATCGGTCACGCCTGACACGGTCACACCTGAGGTCAACGCTGAGGGTCGATTACGGAGTCTTGCCGTAAGTCAGTGGACGTCCGAGAGCTTTCTGAACCACGGACCAATGCGCGAACAGTCTAAACAAAACTTTGGCGCTCCGCGGTCTATCTGTTTGACTACAGCTCCTGAAAACGTCAGTCAATATTAAGTGCAAACTTGAACCCATGGCATCCTGTAGGATTGGATCCGCAATGCGTTCTGCTATGCTCGGCGTTTAAAGGGAGTGCTCCACATTTGCGTGGGGTTCAGAACTAAAAGTCATTTTGAAGATCATTCGGTGCAACTCACAAGCCCTGCCCTTCTTAAGAACTTTACGCTCTAGCTTCTGAACTGCACCCCCGCGAAGATCGCGGACTATTTTGGGGAGGGATTTTCATTAGCCATGCGGCAATCAGGGCCGAGAAAAAAAAACTGTCGAGTCGTTCATACCCCTTGTTCGTGAGCACAATCTCCAGATACAACGGCCGTCAATTCGCTCTGTCATTTGTTGTATAAGGAAAAATGACGTAATCGAACAATGACGTATTAGAGCGCATCTTACAGAACAGAGGAATTGTGCCGTCTAGAGCAGTCCTTTTCCACTTAAAGCATAGCGATGGTTATAAGTTGGCTTACTTCAACATATTTGATGCTTGTTCCAATATCTTTAAGTGCGGAACATTCGCTTTAAGAAGAAGAACTGTTCATTTTTTACATTGAAGTTCTTTTGTTTCCTTCTTCCCTGGGGCTCGTTGCTCGTAAGCAGTGCCCCCCCCCCCCCCCCTCTTACTGGGTATTGCTTCGGCCGAGCAAAGGAACGTTGACCGCTTTGGGTGTGCGAGGCACCTGCTGGCATGGCGCCGGCCTGGATTCGCGCATGAGAAGCCTGGCAGCAAAAAAGGGACGGGCCAAAGACCAGCTCAGAGTCCCAAAAAACCCAGAGGTTCGTACCCCTTTTATGGTTTTGGGACGCCTTGTGTGATTTTGATAAAATATCAAAGGGACCGAGACCATCATTTACCCAGCCAGGGCCACTCTAAGGCATTCATACGCTCCAGACATGCCCGTACCTTTCACCGGAGCCTCTGAGCAGGAGACGTGAAGCTGGACGGCGGGATTCTGATTCACCACCGGCCGCTGCTACCGGCGCAGCCAGACAGTATGGCACGCCAGGCACGCCCGTCCGCGACGCGCACCCCCTTCCGGTACCAGTGAGGGCTCTCTCCCCTCCTCTCCTCTCAGTCGGTCTCTGCGCGTCCTCTCTCCGTTGGTCTCTGCGTGTCCTCTCTCGTTGGTCTCTGCGTGTCCTATCTCCGTCGGTCCTTGCGTCCCCTTCAGGCGGTCTCTGTGTCCTCTCTCAGTCGTCTCGGTGTGTCCTCTCTCCGTCGGTATCTGCGTGTCCTCTCTCCTCGCGTATCTGCGTGTCCTCTCTCCGTCGGTATCTGCGTGTCCTCTCTCCGTCGGTATCTGCGTGTCCTCTCTCTCGTCGTATCTGCGTGTCCTCTCTCCGTCGGTATCTGCGTGTCCTCTCTCCGTCGGTATCTGCGTGTCCTCTCTCCGTCGGTATCTGGCGTTCTCCGTCCTCCGTCGGTATCGCGTGTCCTCTCTCTCCGTCGGTAATCATGCTTGTCCTCTCTCCCTCTGTATCTGCGTGTCTCTCTCCGTCGGTATCCTGGCGTTCCTCTCTCCGTCGGGCTGTGTCCTCTCTGTCGGTCTCTGTCGGTCTCTGGTCCTCTCTCAGGTCGGTCTCTGCGTGTCCCTCTCTCCCTCGATCTCTATGTCCTCTCTATTCCTTCCAAGCCCTTTTCCTTCTCTTCTTCCTTCTCTCTCCCGTACCCTTCGACGCTTAGTGACGTAACACTCGCATACTCAGTTGTTGAACTCTACGCTACCGTCACTAGGTTTATTGGGAGTCACCATTCTACGCATTACTTTTCTCGTCAGCTGGTTTGACTAAAATTAACCCAATGTGAGTGGACATGTTACCTAAGGGATGAGTCACCTTTGAAGATATTGAGGCAAGCATCAGATGTGATGAAATAAGTTAACCCATCACTAGTTGTATACTTTTGAGACTGAAGAGACTATTGTTGGCAGCGCAACTCTCCATTTAGAAGATATGCTCCTCACTGTGTCATGGTTTGATTACGTCACCGTGCTTTGCACAACACGGATGGATAGAGTTGGCGGCCGTTTTATCTGGAAATCGCGCTAACGAATGCCATATGTCAACGCCCCGACAATTATATTTGTATTGGCCTTGATCTCCGCATAGCTTATGAAATGGCAGAGTCTGAATGACGGTATTGTGACTTCATGAATGAGAAGGTGACTTTGCGATGCTCTCCCCGATATACCTTTCCCAATTCTTGCGGGTGCGTAGCTCAGAAACTAGAGGGGCTTAGGTCTTAAGAAGGGCAGGACAGGACACTTAACTGTGAGCAGAACCAAAAGGGCTTCACGATGGTTATCTCAGTTCAAAACCCCGTATAAATGTCGAACACTCCCTTTTAGCTCATTTCATTTTCAAAGCACATGTGACGCATAGTCCGCCGGTATATTCGCTGTGATGGTGAAACTTGACCTAACAGGAACCGGGCCCTATCAAACGGATTTTGGGCACAGCGGATGTTGACAACAGCGTGTATCATCCGTGGTCTCGCTCGAATTGGTGACAGCCCAGCGTACGAGTGGCGCCAGTGACACCAGATGTATTCGGTGATAAGCGTGAAGATGTGATGCGATGCAACGCTTCAGAGCTGTAAACGAGCAAAAGCAAAAATAGTCAACTAAGACGCACTGTGCCCGGGTCGAATGTAAGAGCCGTGCCTGCCAACAGGCCCCGGTCACAGAAATGGCGCGCATGAGCCAACCGCAGGCTCGCGACGCGTCCCGCCGTTGGCATGTTTCAGTCGGTGAAAAGGCCGATCATCGGATCATCGGAACTTTCCGCGCATCTTGGAACGACACATCGATGACCGCCGACGCTACGAGAAGATCTGGTTGGCGCAACGCTCGCGCAGACAGACGCTAACACAGGTCGGTACAGCCAGCGAAGACAACACTCAGTCTCGCACCGCGTCGCGGCCCGGCCCGGCGGCCGTCGCCGACACGCGTGCGCACGCGTCACAGACACAGCTCACGTCACCATTTGTACAATGTCAGTCGGCGTGCAGAAACTACGCCCACGCCGCGCCGCATGGACGGGCGTCCTTCCAGCGTCCCCACCTCTCTCAGTCCGCCGGACAGCGTCCTCCACGCTCCACAGTCCGGCAGACGGCGTCCCCACCCCTCCTCCCCCTCCGCGGTGAGCCGTCAGGGTCCGCTTCCTTTGCGGTGCGGCGGGCGGCGCCCGCCCCGGCCGTCGGCCGGCTCACTCCTCGTCGCTGGAGAGGTCCACCTTGTAGTTGGCGGTGCGCGCGCGGCCGGCGGCACGCTTGGCCAGCGGCACGTAGCCGACGGAGTCGTCCGAGTCGGAGCCGGGCGAGGTAGCCGCCTTCTTCGTTCCGCGGCCCTGGGAAGCACCGGGTCCCGTCAGAGGGCCACAGGGACGCAGACGTCCGATAGGGGAGCACCGCAGCGCTGCGGGGAGCCAATTACCGCGCGATACCGGCTGAGGGCAACGCGCTTCGTGCAGCGGGCGGCCACCCGGCACCGTCACAGGCAAGGACGGGGCCAGACACGATCATGACAAGGACACGATCAAGACACGACACCGTCGTAGACAGGCACGATACGGGACACGATTATGACACGGCACCGTCACAGTCGGACACCGTACGAGACACGATCAAGACACGGCACCGTCACAGACAGGCATGGTACGGGACACGACCATGACACGGCACCGTCACAGACAGGCGCGGTAGTGGGACAGAATCATGACACGGCATGGCCGGACGGGTGCCAGCAGGCCGTACTTTCGGTGTCTCCGACGCGCAGTGAAACCACTGCGATACCGTCACCCGGGGTCATCCTGGGAGAAAAAGCAGTAGGATGTCCCAAAGTATATATCGAATGCAGCAGATGGTTTACTCGAAACCTTGGAGAAACAGAGGATGCCACAACACAACAGAGCTTGCTTACAAATCCCGAACTCCCGAAGAAACACAACGGCGGCATCCCCGAGCACACACATACACAAACGTCGACCGCACCCACCGGCCAACGACCACCGCACCACACAAACAGCGCCGCCACTCCCCCCCCCCGCGCCCCCCAGGCAGGCCACGATACGCGAGCGGCGGGCGGACAGCGGATGAGCCGGGGCGCTACCGCCGCCGTGAGCCGCGTGGGGGCGACATAATCGGCCCGTGATGACGCGCCGCGCCCGGATAGCGGCGCCGCAATGAGCTGCCGATCAGACGGCGGCGCACCGTTCAGCGCTGGCGGCCGGCTCCGGCGCCACCGTCCAGCGCGCAGCCGGTCCCAGCCACGGGCGCGGGCGCGGGCGCGGGCGCGGACTCGTCCGGCGTCCAGCAGCGGGACTCACTGGCGCCGGCTGCACGCTGTGTGGGATGCCCTGACTCTACTTGGCTGTTTGTTTCGCTGGCCTGCCTTTGCGGCGCGTGCGGGACATCTCTGGCTACAACCACAGTGGGGCACCCAGCGCGGGCAATAACGGAGAAACAGCGTGTGGTTCAAAAACCTGCGTGGCAAAATGACGGAAACTTGCAGTTGGACGATATTAGAAACCAAAAAAGTCTAGATGTGTGCCCAGAATCTAAAACCGTGACAGCGATGAAAGCAAAACATTCCCGAGAGGATAGGGCAATACATCTTCAGAAGTCGGAATATTACCCCCTACGTCAACGAGCAGCAAAATCGACCATTCCGGCCAGTTTTTGTCCCCGACCATTCCAGCAATATATGGTAATGCCACGCTGTTCACGCTACCCTCAACCCAGCACGAAAAAGGACGCATGTCTGCCCTACAATATTGCGTTAACACCAAAATAACCACGCCGTGGCCTTCATTAAGCAGAAACCCAATGTCTACAGGAGCCCAAGCAGTAAAGTGGGGAGACTTGACGACAGCGTACAATGTATGTCGCCGGACTTCACGATACTAAGCAAGCTCTAATCTTGAGACGGGGCCTTCGGTCGTTACCGGGGCGGCGGATCGCCCCAGCGAAGACAAACGGCGGGCGGCCGGTCGACCCTCGCCGCGCTGCCCACCGGCCCACCATTCCCAGCTATATACAGCTCCCACGCCTGCCCCACTCGCCACATCAGTTCGATCCGCCAGATCACGATGAGGCACGCGGTACCCGGGCTCCCTGAGGGACCCCGGTCAAGTCACTGCTTCCCATTCGCCCGCCGACGCCGGGTTTGCGGCGAGCCTGCTCGAGTGGCGCGGCGGCCCGCGTGCGGCGCGAGACGACCGGCCACAGCGGCGTCCGCCGGCCGCAGCCGGACCCAGGCCGGCGAGCCCGGCCGCCGCTCCACCGCCGGCCCGGCCGCCGCCGGCCGATTACGGCTGCTTATCGACGCGCGTAACTCCTGAAGCGATTGGCGCCGTGACAACCTCGCACACGAGGGGTCGCTAAAGGTCACCCGAGGCGGAAATGGGCCCCCAACCTTTCGCAATCATCCTTGGGGCAGAGCGGGAGCTGGAGTCGTATCGATCAGGTCTCCTAGGATCACATCTAGCTCCGAACTCTCGACAAACGGACAAGCGTCATCCCGTTCCCTGCAACGTGCGCTCTGGACGGCGCAATAGCGAGGGGCGTCCCTGCTATGGGACGTCGCGCGCGTCCCTGCCCGCCTGCAGACAGCATCCTCTGCAGGGTAATCGCCTTTAGTTGAGGCTTATTGAAGAGCGAACCATTGAGAGAATCGCCTTCAGCGAATAGTCTTCAGCTGAAGCTTATTGAAAGGAAATTTATGCATAAAATAGCTTTTAGTGCGGGCTTATTGAGGGGAAGAGCATGGAGAGAATCGTCTTTCGTCCCGATATGTTGAAAGGAGAACCAATCTTATCGCCTTGAATACAGCCACAGAACACGCTGGTTCGGATAACCCGTCCCTCGAATGACGTGGGGAAACAAAGTCATCAGCACAAGCCGCTACGCCATCAGGAAAAGCACTGCACACTAGTGCACCACCTTATTTCAACCAATGTTTGCCGGCTGAATGGGCAACTCACGCCGAACGCCGACCATGACTGAGCCGTTCGCCCGTCTCCTAATTCTGCCAAAACTGCAACCGACGCTCATGCAAAGGGTCGCGGCTCACTCTCGACCACACCATGCGTACAGACAAGCCGAGCGTAGCGCGCCGCCTTCTGCGACGCCTGGGCTGTGAGCGGCTCAGCGGCCTGCTCCGCCGTCCTCGGACGGCAGCACGCCGCTCGCGCCCGCCGTCCTCGAACGGCAGCACGCCGCTCGCGTCCGCTGCCCTCAGACGGGAGCACGCCTCTCGCGCCCGCCGTCCTCGAACGGCAGCACGCCGCTCGCGCCCGCTGCCCTCAGACGGGAGCACACCTCTCGCGCCCGCCGTCCTCGAACGGCAGCACGCCGCTCGCGCCCGCTGCCCTCAGACGGCAGCGCACCGCCCCGTGCGGCGCCTGAGCTGTGAGCGGCTCAGCAGCCTGCCCAGCCGCCCTCGCACGGCCGCACGCCGCTCACGGCCGCAAGCTCACCTTCGCCTTCGTCGGGGCGAACTCGTCGTCCGAGTCCGAGTCAGACGCGTTCTTCCTCCGCTGCGTCGGTGCCTTCTTGGCGGCGGGCTTCTTGGCCGCTGCGGGCTTCTTGGCTTCGGCAGCGGGCTTTTTCGCCGCCGCGGGCTTATTGGCTTCGGCAGTGGGCTTCTGAGCAGCGGCACTGGGCTTTGGTTTCGGCTTGGCTGAAACGGGCAGAGAGCAGAGTTGGTGGACGAATCAAGAGCATAACGAAGTGAGCTCGATGGTCTTCTGGAGCGCGTCGGTTACTCAAGCCATTTTGCAACGAACTGAGCTCGCCGAAGATCAGGGGAGAAAGCCTAACTTGGACGGATTTCGTGGCAAAATCACCGCTCAGACACGCCTTACGCGTAAAGATCACAAACCGTCACACATCGCGCGAAATTCAGAAACAAGGCGAACAGACCCCAACAACCGTCCCTGAGGATCAAAACCCCGCCCAGCCCCTCGAGAATGCCCAAGGCTGTGATAGCCGACGTGGCCGACAAAAACGCCGCGCCGCCGTCTCATCAGCGCTGGCGGACGGCGGCGGCCCCCCTCCCCCCCCCCCCCCGGCGCGCGGCAGCTGGGTCATTTGTCGGCGGCCAGCGCAGGCGCCGGCAGCCGCGTGTCCGGCGTACCGGCCCCGCCGGCCCCGCTGATGACGGCGCGACACGGCCCTGTTCGTGGGCGGGGCGGCGCGGCGCGACCCCGCCCGACCGGCGCTCGGTCTGGCACCGGGGGGGGGGGGGGCAGACTATCGCCTAGCACCGCCGGTGATTGCTAGGGGCCGCCGGAGTGGTGCCAGCACACGGAGGCGAGCCTGGACCCCCACCCCTCCTCCCGCCGCAGCCGGGGAGGACGTAGCGACGGGTCACATCCGCCTGGCTGCTCGATGGCTTCCGGCCGGCGGAGACCCGTCAGCTCTTCAAGCACCATCCAATTGTACAACATCTCATAACGAATTGATGGAACGTTGCGTTGGAAGGTGATCAGCGTGCATTCGCTTCACACAGTGCATGGCGTACAGCTCTACGTCATATCTATCTATCCATCTATCTACCTATCTACCTATGTGTGTGTGTGTGTGTGTGTGTGTGTGTGTGTGTGTGTGTGTGTGTGTGTGTGTGTGTGTGTGTGCGTGCGTGCGTGCGTGCGTGCGTGCGTGCGTGCGTGCGTGCGTGCGTGTGTGCGTGTGTGTATGACATCAAAAAGCAAATATACCAATCAGAGCTTACGCCACGCTTTACTCATTAAACCAATGGTTTGAAAGCCAAAAGTTCTACTTTCAAATCACCAGAGCCCGAAATTTGAAATTTACCATCTGAACCATATCACCAAAAGCTCCGTTCCGCGCATGCAATTCTGTACCCATCCCAGCACTCCCAGAGCGCTACAACTTGTCTGCTTCCCCACTCTCTGCCACGTCAACTGTCCACTATCGCACCCTATCCCCATCAAGGCTCCACTGCCCCATCACCGCGCCCTTCTCAATCAGGGCTCCACTGCCCGTCACCGCACCCTGTCCATTATCAGAGCTCCACTGTTCCATTACCGCATCCTGTCCACCATCAGGGCCCACCGTTCCATCACCGCGTCCTGTCCACTATCAGGGCTCCACTGCCCGTCACCGCACCCTGTCCACTATCAGGGCTCCACTGCCCCATCACCGCACCCTGTCCACTATCAGGGCTCCACTGCCCCGTCACCGCACCCTGTCCACTATCAGAGCTCCAATGTTGGGCGCAAAATGACCATTGAAGTCGACGCGCCCGAAAACACCAATGAACAAACAACAAGGGCTCCACTGTTCCATCACCGCACCCTGTCCACCATCAGGGCTCACTGTTCCATCACCGCACCCTGTCCACTACCAGGGCTCCACTGCCCGTCACCGCACCCTGCCCACTATCAGGGCTTACTGTTCCATCACCGCACCCTGTCCACTATCAGGGCTCCACTGCCCCGTCGCCGCACCCTGCCCACTATCAGGGCTCCACTGCCCCGCCGCCGCACCCTGTCCACTATCACGGCTCCACTGCCCCGTCGCCGCACCCCGTCCCCAACACGATTGGGATTGTCAAGTATCGGCGACGTGTTGTGTTCCATTGATCGACAAATATGCTCACCAATAACCCATTTCAGTTTCATCGTAAAATGTCGTTTATGATGCAATATTTCCACTTCAGGCTAGTTAAGTATCTCATTAATTGCGCGATGGCATAGTATCAACATGGAAGTTCAAGCTTCTTTATCCGTATGCTTGGTAAAACTAGCTCCAACGGCCCCTCGGGGACCCACGGGTCCTCATATTTATACAGATCGGTACTGGACCTAACGTCCGTACCACGCTTGATCAAAACCCGTGAGCCGCCACATACAACCTGAAATACAACCGGCGCATCAAGCACGTGGCACGCAACGCCACCCTAAAGTAATTGCGTTCCTCCGAGATTAAATAAGTCTGTCCTCTGACCGGCTGGAAGCAATGTCGAACGCAAGATAGCCACTCAATGGCCACGTAACGAAGCCGATCCCGAGCCGCGCCACGCAAGAGTGCGTGGCGCCAAAATCACGCCAGTCGGTCGAGCGCGCAACATCACAGTGTGACGGGCGCAACCTCAGCAGCTACTGTGAAGGCGTGACAAAGGGAATGCACGCCGTTGAAATTTTCGGCAACCCAACTGGCAATTTGTCACTGCTTTTTGAAGCTGCCAGCATTGCAAGCCGACCGGGGTAGAGCCCGAGCGGAGTTTCTCGGCAGCCGGATCACTCCTCAATAAACTGTGTTCCTGGAGCGGTGATGATTTAGCCGGCAGGCAGTGCTCCAGGGGCAGTTCTTTCAGCGAGTTAACGGAATAGTTGCGAATATCTGTTGACGCGTGAAAACAATCATCTGCTAAATTCGAAAGACCGAAAGGCAACGAACAAAGCTTCGCTAAAATCGGTCCGTAAAGCATTTAACACGCGCCCGGGTGGCCGGCTAGATACCCCTTGCTCGGGTGGGTGTCAATTCGACCACCCTGAGATCTCAGGAACTATTAGGTCAAAGTTTGAGCTTCCTAGGAGGTCATGACCTTCAGGTAAAATAAGTCCAAACAAGGTAAAATTCCAGGCTGGTCTCCAAAGTGCCCCAGAACCTACGCAACTGTTTCTAGGGAAAAGATCAAACGCCCATTTGAAGTCAGTGACCTTTCTTGACACTTTTAAGGCCAAGGTGACCAAAATCATACAGGCCTGCTTTGAGTTTTGCATCTGAATAGCAGACGAAAATTACGCCAGGCAGCATGTTCCTAAAACAAAATGTCGACCCGGGTCATTTTAGGTCAATGACCTTTTCTGGCCTCTAAGAAGTCAATGGAAGATGTAAAATGCGGCTCCTAATGTCAATAAATTCGAAACGAGCACCACAACCCATCCCATACAGCAAGTCCTAGAGTAATAGGTCAGGTTGGTTGTGACCTTGGTCTGACTTCCATACCTGACCTTAGGTCAACGCAATTTGCTCATTCAAGACCTTGTCAAGGCCAGACCTTGACCTGCCATAGGTCAGCAACCTTACAAGGTACATCTAAATTTTGTATGTCAAACGATCCGTTATTCAATTGTCTACACCTATGCATAATGTGGTGCGGCTACGCCGCGCCGTTCAAAAACCATTCTGCAAAAAAACCTTCGGGGGATCAATTTGACCCCCGCGCGCGTGTTAACATCCATTTTACAAGGGCAAGGCATACTATCACACATTGCAAATGGGGACGCTAGTAAATTATTCCATTACACCGCTCGGTTCAGTAACTGCTCAAATGGTTTTTAATAATGAAGGGCTCATCAAAATATCGCCATCTCACTTATGCATAAACTGGAATATAGCCAAACTATAACATCAACGATCGCTGATGCCGTTCGTCCGAGCATGCATAGCAATTTTTGACTTTCTAAGGTGTCGCCCAGGGTGCAAAAATGCCTGGTTTACGCCTCATGGTTTGCTCAGGGCTACCAATACCAAATGAGGCGAAACTTTGTGCGACCGGCCCAGCGCGGGCGCGGGAATGTCGGGCTGACGTGACGTCGGAGGCCCGGACCGCCACCGCCCCGAGCTGCTCATCAGTCCCCGCACAGCCGGCTTGGGGCCAGCCGGCGGCCGCCCAACTCGCACAGCGGCCGGTCGGCGAAGACCGGGGCCTGGATCACGGCGGGGAGCGGGAGCGGTGACGGAGCAGGCCTCACTGACGCCGGGAGCGGGAGCGGGAGCAGTGACGGGGCAGAGACCGGGACGGCCTCACTGACGCCGGGAGCGGGAGCAGTGACGGGGCAGAGACCGGAGCGGCCTCACTGATGCGGGGGAGCGGGAGCGGTAACGGGGCAGGGACTGGGGCGGCCTCACTGACGCCGGGAGCGGGAGTGATGACGGGGCAGAGACCGGAGCGGCCTCACTGACGCCGGGAGCGGGAGTGATGACGGGGCAGAGACCGGAGCGGCCTCACTGACGCCGGGAGCGGGAGCGGTGACGGGGCAGAGACCGGAGCGGCCTCACTGACGCCGGGAGCGGGAGCAGTGACGGGGCAGAGACCGGGGCGGCCTCACTGACGCCGGGAGCGGGAGCGGTAACGGGGCAGGGACTGGGGCGGCCTCACTGACACCGGGAGCGGGAGTGATGACGGGGCAGAGACCGGAGCGGCCTCACTGACGCGGGGAGCGGGAGCGGTGACGGGGCAGAGACCGGAGCGGCCTCACTGACGCCGGGAGCGGGAGCAGTGACGGGGCAGAGACCGGGGCGGCCTCACTGACGCCGGGAGCGGGAGCGGTAACGGGGCAGGGACTGGGGCGGCCTCACTGACACCGGGAGCGGGAGTGATGACGGGGCAGAGACCGGAGCGGCCTCACTGACGCCGGGAGCGGGAGTGATGACGGGGCAGAGACCGGAGCGGCCTCACTGACGCGGGGAGCGGGAGCGGCGACGGGGCAGAGGCCGGGGCGGTCTCACTGACGCTGGGAGCGGGGAGCGGGAGCGGTGACGAGGGACGGACGGCGGCGTCCCCGATGCGAAGCACAGAGGGGCAGGCCGCAGAACCTGAGCAGAGGGGCAGGCACAGAAGCTCACGCAGGCCGCCGGGCCGCCGCCTCGACCCGAGACGTTGCGAGACGAGCGTGAACGACGGGAGAGACGGCGGTCCGGAGAACA